CTTTGTGTTAGCTGCCAGTCTTTTTTCATCATCCCTCTTTGCCTTTCTTAGTTACTTTTTCTAAACATTTTGTATTCAATTTGATTATCAATTGTATTTTCTCCCTCACACTAATCAGAAGTGTATTTTTTCTTCTTATGCTTTAATTTCTCTGTCCTGTTTAATACAAGGAGCTCTGAAATTGTTTGACCTTCCTTTGCCTTTTTGAGGGAATATATCTTGACTCTATCTGAACCATCTCTTCCTTGAAGGTAGCCAATTCATGGCATTTCCAGTTAACTATCAGCCTGAGTCTATCCAACCCAACTCCATTTTTACCCCATTGAAATCAGTTCTCCTCCAGGTAATTATTCTTACTTTGGAGTGTCCATTACCCTTTTACATCATAATCCTAAGTCTTATAGAATAATGATCACCGTCCCTTAAATGATCTTCCAGTGACACTTGCTCTACTTTGTCCAACTCAATGACAAGAACCAAGTCTATCCGTTCCTCCTTTCTTGTTGGACATGACACATTCTGCTGTAAAAAAAAAATTGCTCTGAACACAATCTAAAAACACTTGTAAGAACACAGCAAACCAGGCAGCATCAGAGTAACAGGAAAGCTAACATTTCGGGTCGGGACCCTTCTTCCTCTGGTACTGCTTGGCCTGCTGTGTTCTTCCAGCTCCAAACTTTGTTACCTCTGAATCCAGCATCTGCAGTCCTTGCCATATCTCTAAAAACACCAGTCCCTCTTTGCCCTTAACACTACCACTAACCCAGTCCACATTTGGTTACTTAAAATCCCCCATTATAACTACTGTAAGATTTATGCACTATCTGTAAATTCCTTACATAAGAATATAAGAACTAGGAACAGGAGTAGGCCATCTGGCCCCTCGAGCCTGCCCCGCCATTTAATAAGATCATGGCTGATCTTTGAGACTCAGCTCCACTTACCCTCCCACTCACCATAACCCTTAATTCCTTTACTGTTCAAAAATTTATCTAGCCTTGCCTTAAAAACATTCAGCAAGGTAGCTTCAACCACTTCACTGGGCAGGGAATTCCACAGACTCACAACCCTTTGGGTGAAGAAGTTCCTCCTGACCTCAGTCCTACATCTGCTTCCCTTTATTTTGAGGCGATGCCCTCTAGTCCTAGTTTCACCTGCTAGCAGAAACAACCTCCCCGCCTCCACCTTATCTATTCCCTTCATAATCTTATATGTTTCTATAAGATCTCCCCTCATTCTTCTGAATTCCAATGAGTATAAGCCCAATCTACTCAGTCTCTCCTCATAATCTAACCCTCTCAACTCTGGAATCAACCGAGTGAATCTCCTCTGCACGCCCTCCAGTGCTAGTATATCTCTTCTCAAGTAAGGAGACCAAAACTGCACACAGTACTCCAGGTGTGGCCTCACCAGGACCCTATACAGCTGCAGCATAGCCTCCCTGTTTTTAAACTCCATCCCTCGAGCAATGGCAGACAAAATTCCATTTGCCTTTTTAATTACCTGCTGCACCTGCAATCCCACCTTCAGCAATTCATGCACAAGGACACCCAAGTCCCTTTGCACAGCAGCGTGCTGCAATTTTTTACCATTTAAAACATAGTCCATTTTGTTGTTATTCCTACAAAATGGATGACCTCACACTTATCAACACTGTACTCCATCTGCCAGACCTTTGCCCACTCACTTAGACTATCTATATCCCTCTGCAGACTTTCAGTGTTTTCTGCACACTTTGCTCTACCACTCACCTTAGTGTCATCTGCAAATTTTGACACACCACACTTAGTCCCCAACTCCAAATCATCGATGTAAATTGTAAACAATTGAGACGCCAACACTGATCCCTGAGGCACACCACTAGCCACTGACCACCAACCAGAAAAACACCCATTTACCCCTACTCTTTGCTTTCTACTGGTCAACCGATTCTCTATCCATGCCAATACGTTACCTGTAACACCGTGCAACTTTTTCTTATGTAGCAGCCTTTGGTGTGGCACCTTGTCAAATGCCTTCTGGAAATCCAGATACACCACATCCACAGGTTCCCCATTGTCCACCATGCAAGTAATGTCCTCAAAGAATTCCACCAGATTAGTTAAACATGACCTACCCTTCATGAGCCCATGCTGGGTGTTCCCAATGGGACAATTTACATCCAGATCTCTTGCTATTTCTTCCTTAATGATAGATTCAAGCATGTTCCCCACTACCGAAGTTAAGCTAACTGGCCTATAGTTACCTGCTTTTTGTCTACTTCCTTTTCTAAACAGTGGCGTCACATTGGCTGTTTTCCAATCTGCGGGAACCACCCCAGAGTCCAGTGAATTTTGGTAAATAATTACTAGTGCATTTGCTTGCCCAGTACGGCCTCCTTAGTGATAATGATAGTTTCTACGTTCTCACCTGCTATAACCTTCTTGCTATTAGTTTTCGGCATGTTATTTGTGTCTTCCACTGTGAAGACCGACACGAAATAACTGTTTAATGTCTCGGCTATTTCCTCATTCCCAGTTATTAAATTGGCCTTCTCATCCTCTAAAGGACCAATGTTTACCTTCGCCACTCTTTTACGATTTACATATTTATAGAAACTTTTGCTGCCTGTTTTTATATTCTGAGCTAGTTTACTCTCATAATCTATCTTACTTTTCTTTATAACTTTTTTTGTGGCTTTCTGTTGGCCTTTAAAGATTTCCCAGTCTACTAGTTTCCCACTACTCTTTGCTTTTTTGTATGTGTTTTTTTTTTCAATCTGATACTTTCCTTTATTTCCTTAGACATCTATGGCTGGCTGTCTCTTTTCCTACAGTTCTTCCTTATCACTGGAATATACTTCTGCTGAGCACTGTGAAAAATTGTTTTGAAAGTCCTCCACTGTTCCTCAATTGACCCACCATAAAGTTTTTGCTCCCATTCTACCTTAGCTAACTCCTTCCTCATCCCATCATAGTCTCCTTTGTTTAAGCACAGGATACAGGTACTGGATTTAACCTTCTCACGCTCCATCTGTATTTTAATTTCAACCATACTGTGATCGCTCCTTCCGAGAGGATCCCTAACTGTGAGATCATTAATTATTCCTGTCTCATTACACAGGACTAGATCTAGGATAGCTTGCTCCCTCGTAGGTTCCATTACATATTGTTCAAGGAAATTATCGCGGATGCACTCTATGAACCCCTCCTCAAGGCTGCCATGACCGACCTGGTTTGACCAATCGATATGTAGATTAAAATCCCCCATGATAATTGCTGTACCATTTTTACATGCATTAGCTATTTCTACGTTTATTGCCCGCCCCATCACGATGTCATTATTTGGTGGCCTATAGACCACACCTATCAGTGACTTCTTCTTCCTGCTTTTCCTAATTTCCACCCAAATGGATTCAACGTTTTGTTCAGTAGAACCTATATCATCTCTCACTACCGCCCTGATATCATTCTTAAAAATCAGAGCAACACCACCTCCCTTACCTTCCTGTCTGTCCTTCCAAACAGTTTGATACCCCAGGATATTTAACTCCCAGTCATGACCATCCTGCAACCATATCTCTGTAATGGCCATTAAATCATACCCATTTGCCATGATTTGTGCCGTCAACTCATCCACCTTGTTTCGAATGCTCCGAGCATTCAGATAAAGTGCCCTTATGCCAGTTTTGCACCTTCTTTTTGGGTCCTATTACCTCCATTACTAACAGCTCTTGAGTTCTCCTTCCCTTTAACTTTTTTCCTAATTTTCAATGGAGTTGAAGCTTCCTCGTCACCTGCTAACCTGCTGCTTTGCCTTACATTAATTGTTATTCTCCCTCTACGCTCACTTCTCCCTTCCCCCCTACTTTCTAGTTTAAAGTCTTATTAACCACCCTATTTACCCTTTTTGCCAGAACACTGGACCTGGCCCTGTTCAGGTGGAGTCCATCCCAGCGGTATAGATCCCTCCTGTCCCAGAACTGATGCCAGTGCCCCATGAAAAGGAAACCCTCTTTCCCGCACCACTCTTTTAGCCACATTTACTTCCCTGATCATCGCCTCCCTCTGACATTTGTACGTGGCTTGGGCAGCAATCCAGAGATTATGACCCTTGAAGACCTGTTTTTTAATTTTGTTCTTAGCTTTTCATAATCCCGAAACAGGTCTTCTTTCCTAGTCCTGCCTATGTTGTTGGTACCTACATGGACCACAACAACTGGATCCTCCCCCTCCCTCTCTAGTATCCTCTCAAGCCGGTCAGAGATGTCTCGCACCCTGGCACCGGGCAGGCAACACACCATGCGGGTTTGTCTATCCTGCTCGCAAAGGATACTGTCTATCCCCCTGATGATGGAATCCCCTACAACTACAATCTGTCTTTTTGCTCCCCTCTCTTGAATGGCCTCCTGGACCATGGTGCCATGGTCAGTCGACTCATCCTTCCTGCAGCCCTGTTCCTCATCCACGCAGGAAGATTTATTCTTGTTAATTCTTCCCACGAGTTGGTTGTCCATATACTACATCAAACAACATAATTATATCTTTCTTGTTATTTAGATAAAGCTATTTATTTTCCAGTCATTGAACACTCCAGTGTATCCTCTTTCTCCAGTACTGCAATACTCTCCCTGACCATCCAGATTCCACGTGTTGTTCTGATGGGGGCCTGCAGGGGGAAAGATGGAGGAAGAAATTGGGATTGATGGAGTAGGGAGATATGTGGTAAAGGACTAGGGTAATGGGGTGTGAAAGAATGGGGAAATAGAGAATGCTCAACTTCCCAACCCCTCAAAGCCCTACTCTCCTCCACTCGAAAACTGAAACTCCCCTCTCCCCGCCCACAGATCTTACCCCAAATTCACACTAAATCTGGTGCATTAATGGATGGTCACACCTGGAATGAGTTTGGAAAGCATTGAACAGATAATTTTTTTTAGCAGCACTCGTTGATGGATGAAGTATAACCAGAATTTTAGGCGAACTTTCAACCTCTTATGTCCACATTTTGCTGAAGACAATTCAGTTAATTATCAGTTTAATATGAAACCATAGTTAAAGCAATATAAACACAAGGACACATTGTAAGGCCTCTGATTAAATTGAAGCTGATTTCAAAGATGATGTCATGAATGACACAACACAAAGAATAGTGTCACATCCTAAAAATAAATGTGATTCAAAACACAGAACCTGCTAATAGGTTTTATATATTTTATACTTTGCTGAATATGTAGGGGCCAATATATGTTTATTGCAATACACTGAATTTCCTCAAACTTACAAAACTTACACATTTTAGAGAAGGGAAAAACTTGCATTAATACGGAGCCTTATGCTTTTCTCAGAATACCTTAAAAGTCATAGCAATTATGTTAGAAGTACAATTATTATTATGTAAGTAAATATGTTAGCTAACTTTGCACATGGATGCTCCACATAAACAGTGAATGAAATGATTGACCAGTTGTCCTATCAGGGTACGTGAGAGTCAGTTTACTGATGTCATTGGTTGATATGATTATATTTATGATCAATCTTTTTAAAAAATTACAAATCACATAGCATACATAATTCATTAAATAGAGGTCTGTGTTAGTGATTAAGCTGCTGTTCTGTATCAACAACCTTATAGAGATTGGTTTCACCTCAAACCAATAATATTTTTGTTTTTCCTAACAAAAAGGTAATTGAATGTGAGCTTATGGGATGAATCATTGCATTAGAAAAGAATACACTAGACACATTCTTTCCATTCACACCGCAGTGGATAAACTGACAGTGAATCAACCTCAACTTTGTAGAGTTTGGACAGTTGATCTACACTGATGGTTTCGCATCTAACCTGAATTTGGTATATTTGGTGGAACTGCTAGAAACGACAAATTGAAAACACCCACGTCGCCATTACAAAGCATAGAATGTATTCACCAGAATTTCTGTAGCGTGTAAAGTGATGGTCAATAGTGAAAGAAAATTGCTTGACACTTTTTTTGGGCCAAATGTTGTATTCATGATTATCCTTTTAGCAACAGCTAAAAGGAGTTTGGCCAGATGATCGGCTCACTATTTCATCACACTATAATGTTTCAATTTCGCCCCATCTTTTCTTGAACTTGAGCTGCTGAGATGGTTTTAAATATAATTGCTAGGGGCTGGGTTGTGATCTGAGATTAGGATTGTCAGTTTTTGGTCATACAACATTTTAGAGCTTCACAACAAAACGGGGATTGTTTTGATGCAACATTATTGTTGGTGGATAAATAACCTCAGGTTAATAAAACAAAGAACTGTGGACACTGGAGATCTGAAACAAAAACAGAAACTACTGGAGAAACTCAGAAGGTCCAGCAGCATCAGTAGATAGAAAATGTGAATTGATTTTCAGATGCTGCCAGATCTGCTGAATTTCTCCAGCACTTTCTGTTTCTGTTTCAAATAACCTTAGGTTGTCTGACTCAATGTTTTATTCGTAACTTCCCATCAGTGTGAACATAAAGAAATGTAATAATTCAGATAATTAATCTTAATTCACAATGTTTGTGCTAAATGAAATTCAAAATTGCATTAACAGCTTAGTTTATATTTATGCATAGTGCCAGGAGTTATTTCAACATAGAGCTGCCAGTGATTGCTCACTTACAACAATATAATAGCTTACTTTTAATTTGCTTTCTTTATGTTCCAAATAAAATCCTTCCAGATACAATTATAAGTGTAATTGTGAGATTAAGATGATTCTTTTTTCCTAAAGGCATCATTCCAGCCCATTCATTTTAAATGGAAAACCAGATTTATCTTTCAAATCATCCAAAGTTACAGAATAATTGGAATTCCAATCTCTTTGAAACAGATTCTTTAGCTGATGGTGAGCTGTATCACCAGCTTCTTCCGAAGTCTGATTAATGAGCAGACCCACTCCTGTTGTAGAATTGAAGTAATCAAAAGACCAGTTCGAAGTACCTAGAAGCCAAGAAGAATTATTTAATCGTTTAAAATGGTATTTACATTTTGAAGCAAAGTAGAAACCCCGACCTGTCCAGAATCCAGTCGATGCACACTTACAAATATAAAAACATTGAGTTGTAGAATCTGTTTTGCAAGCTGAATGATTTTGTTTTCTACCACATAATACCAGTGAAATGGCCGAGTGAAAATTTCACAATTTCAGAAAAGGAATCCAATTTCAAACCTCCACCTTGACTGACAATTAAGCTAATTGATGCTCATCGTTCATTTTCAATCATTTTCGGTTAAACGATCAGGCAAAATAACATCACCGAGTAAGTTGATTAGAAAATAGGTTTAAAAACAATGGTTGGGATTTTTATGGTGGTGGTTAATACTTTTTAAAAAATGCCAAAAAAAATCACAGTGATTTTGGCGTTGGGAAAGTCATTCAGTTGTGAAAAAAAGTGGGTGGGAGAGGGCTCTTATGGCACAGCGGTAGTGACCGCTGAACCAGGAAGTTTGGGTTCAAGTCCAATTTTATCCAGGGATGTGTCATAACATGTTGGGATACATTGATTATAAAATACTTACATTAGGTTGAGTCATAAAACAGCAGCAGGGGACCTGGTACAAAGTCAAGATAATTAAAAAGAAAGCATGTGAAAAGGACTGTTGTTGCAGAGTTGTAGTGTCCCTACCTCTGGATCAGAAGACCTCGGTTCAAGTCCCATCCTGTTCCAGAGATATGTGATGGCACCTCTGAACATATTAAATAGAAAATAAGAAACACTGATTGGGAAGGGGCTCTTGTGGTGCACTGATCCAGGAGGTTCAGGTTCAAGTCCCAACTGCTGCAGAGGTGTGTAATGACATTACTGAACAGGTAAAGTAGAACATCTAAAAGAATAGGGGGAACCCCTTCCCGTTTCCCTAACTCTCCCTCACGTTTGATGGCCTGCAATGCCTTTAACAGTCTTTGCATGTAAATTACCCAGTTGGTTGTGGTTAACAGAAGAAAATAAAGATGAGTAATTTGGTGATAGACAAAAACGTTCAGTTGTGGACATAAAAAGAAAAAAAAATTTTGGAAGAAAGACAGGGCTAGCTGTGGGGGTGATAAGAATTGAATATAGATTAAAGATATGAACAATGAGGCGGTCATGGTTCAGGGAGATGACATCAGGCAAATTTGAGCAATGAAGTTGCAATTCTGTACTAACAACTGCAGCTGTAACATTGGGACTCATATGAATGGGTGATGGAAATTCTCACCTTGCCACTAGGAGAGACAAGGGTTACAATGCTGCCAAATGTAGCTGCCCTACTGTCACATAGCACTGTAAGGAATTCTAACTGACTGCAGCTGAGACTTCTGCCCCTCACTCAGAAGGAAATCCTGCCGTAGAAAGCTGCTGGCCAATCTGGTGGCCACTGATGGTATGACACACTGTCCCAAGGATCCAAGTCCCAAAGCCAGGCCAGAGATAAGTGTCGGGCACTGTCAGAGCAGTGATGGGCTGGGTGGCCCTGGGAAGTTGGGAAGCAACATTAGTTGAGGTTCTTGATCGAGAGGCCCGAGTATAGGAAACACCATGGGGATGGGAAGATGTGGGGAGAGGGGTGTGATGTGAAGAGATGTGAATGAGCCTCCCCCATTTTACCACCTGAGGACTGAAGAGACTGACATACTGGATGTCCCTTCCCAGCCACACCTTTTCCCTGACCCTCCTGCCAGCCTCAAAACCAAGGCCAGGCAAAAGCAGCCCATAGCTGGCTGTTAGTTGGCCATTTATATGCCTTAACTGGACACCCTAGGCATTGCATGCCCCCCATAAATTAAGGACACATCATGGACAGGCGAAAGGCCACCCTCGGAATTTATGTGTCCCCTTCACCCGGAAACACAATGATGCCGATCATAATATTCTGCCCTCAAGCAGTGGGTTTGAAGTCTATGGGTTGAATCTTTCCATATTTTGGCAAAGTGTCAATTTGGTCAGGTTTGATGGAGGACCAGCAGGATTTTTCATGCTATCATACTAAACTTGTTTCATTAAAAACCTACCCCAGCCCTTTGGTGCTCCTCTCGTTCAGTGCTAGCCCGATTCTCCAATTCACCGTAGCCGGAAATATTCACCACTGCCAGGGTATTTCAGGATATCCAAGGATTCCTGGCCTCAGTGCATCTTTAAAAGTCTATAATGTCAAAGTCAAGCACTGTCAGTCTAGAGCTGCTCTGCATAGTTCTGCATAGACATTTGCCTCAGACATGGGTAAATTTCCACCCTGCTTTGTAGACAGAGACTTGGAGGTCTTGATCGATGGAGTGCTACAAAGAAAGGAACATCCTCTTCCGCAAGGACCAGCAGATCTTGACAGCCTGGCCTGAGGTTGCCACCCAGGTCAATGCCATCTCAGCCATCTAGAGGAACAACCAGTGTTTGAAGAAAACTAATGACCTTCTCTGCTCCACCAGGGTAGGTGTCACCATCTTCTCTCTGCTACCTCTCTCTTACTCTATATCTTCTATTGCACATACACTACCATTCTCAGTATTGCCTACACCATCTTCCCTCAATAACTAGAACGTACAAAATTCCCTCACCATTAACCCTCTGCACTGTCTGCTTACTCACTTGTGACACCTCAGCACCTTAGCGCCAAACCTTCTTCTCTCTCTCTCAGTCCATCCCTTTGTCTGAATCCAGGCACAAACATCCCAGAATAGGGCAGGAAGAGCGAAGATGGGTGGTGGATTACACGAGATTTGTCTCCTCAGCCCCTTCGAGGAGATGATCTTTGCCTGAGCTGGATAGGAACATGACTGTTCATGTTGTGATCCCTAAACCTCTATGTCCTGATAAGAATCATTGTTCATAGCTGTGTTTTCTTCAATTTTAGCTAAATTAGTTAGGGCACTTGCTGGTGAAGACATCACTGCCACATCAGTGGATTAAGGAAGAAATCCCAGGTGGCTGGCACTCAGAGTACTGCCAGAGTCAAGGTCCTCTCATGCCAGGGTCTGAAGAGGTGCTAGCTTGCGTCTGCCCTCTATCTCCAGGCAGGTCTTCAGACAAATAAACTGTGCAGGGCAGCTCTGAACTGGCTGAGGTTGACCTGGTACACAACTACATTTTAAATAAGATGCCAGGAATCCCAGTTTCAGCGAGTACTTCCAACTCTGGGAGGGGAGGTAGATAGTACGGGTAGGACACCACAGAGGTTTTGTGCATAGGTAATAAGGTGAGTTTTGGAGAATAATATTAGAAATTTCACTTTGGCATGTGGAGAGAAACGATCCCTGAAATGTGCTAGAGTTGACACAGCCAGTTCAGGTAATATTCAGCCCAATGATTTGAAGTATTTAACCAAGATAAAACAAGCTATAGGTATTAGAAAAGAAAAAAAATATGAAAAATAATAAAATAACACCAGATTGATTTGGCCAACTCACATTCTTAGGACTATTCCAAAGAATGCCACAGAAAAATAGATGCATCCAACCAACAGCTAACATCTATATATATATGTACATATATCACCATTAACCTAATAAAATATTCTAATGTATTTTGCAAGAGAATTATCAAACAAAATTGTACATTGACCCACCTTAATGGATACTTGGGTAGACGAGAAAATCTTGGTTAAAGAGATTGGGTTTAAGGGATCTTAAAGTCTAAAGTATTAAGGTAGAAAGGTTTAAAGAAAGAATTTCAGAGCTTGAGGTCCAGGCTATTAAAGGCTCTGGCAAAGTTAAAATCATGGATGGTCAAGAGGTCATAACTGGATGATACAGTTATCTCACAGCAATGTCAGGCTGGAGGAGACTGCAAACAAAAACAGAAATTGCTGGTGTGTAGATCCTTAGAGAACATCAGATGTAACAGTGTGGATGTGGGAACAGATGGTATTGTGGGATGGGTCTGTGGCATCAATTGGATTGGCAAGAATGGAACTGGTCAAGTGCAGTCCACTCAGTTCAGGAAATGGTGAAGAAGCTTTAGAGAAGGATGTTGTGGTCAGTCATGTTAAAGGCTGAAGACAGGCTGAAATGGAGGAGAGATAGTTTGCCACTGTCGCAGTCACATGGGATGTCATTTGTGACATCCTAAGTGGTGTTTTTACAGTATGGCAGGAGTGGACAAGTTCATATTTACCCACTTTATATGCCATCTGACAAAATTTTGTGTAATTCACTTAACCTTATATCCTTTTGCAAACTCTCTGCCTCATCTTGACAATTTAATTCCAGTAAATATAAATATCAGTAAATATAGCTATAGTAATTTTGTTCCCCTTATTCAAATCATTTTTTGATTGAAAATAGTTGACAGCCCAGCATTGATCTCTGTGGCACTCCACAGCTTACAGCCTGCCAGCCTGAAAGAAAGACCCATTTAACCCTAATTTCTATTTCTTGTTATCAAATTAATCCTTGCTCCATGCTGGTATGTTATCTCATATACCATGAGCTCTTATACAGCAAACTTTGGTGGGCCACCTTATCAAGTGCCTTTTGGAAAGCCAAATACACAACTAAGGTTCCCCTCTTTCCACATTGCTTGTTTATTCTTCGTTTCTTTATTGTTTAGGATATAGAAGCATTGAATGGAAGATAATGCTCTTACCAATATAGGCAATGTTTTCTGTCACAAAGTATTTTGTGTGACACACTCTCGCATAAGGAATATTGCTAAACTTTCCCACAGGAACAACGAATAGTTTCTAAAAAAAAGTGATAACATTTGTGAGTCACATAACGTTACTTAGGTACATGTGACAACAATAAATTGAATCAAAATCAAATCTAATCTAAAAATCAACTCATTATTATTTTAAAAATGTACTTTCTGTATAAGATAAATAAAATAAACCAAAGCTTAACAGAACTAAAATAAACCCCTCAAAAATAAGTAAGTATTTGTTAGAAATTATGGAATACCTAAGAATTGGAATGAAGCATATTTTTGAATAAAGCTCAAGTAAATACAATTCCATACTGTAACTTTCGAAACATTTTTATTAGCATCAGTTTCCACATCAATTTATTTCAGGGTATGAGTTAATAGTTTAAATTTGTGTTTATCCCCACAGATAATTTGGCCTTTACTAAAACATTAGCTGAAAACAAATAAACTTTCAGTAATTATTAACCCTGTTAGTAAAAATAAAACATTATTCACCACATCAAAATGGACTTTCCTGATGTTTCTTAGAGCTTGCAGTGACTGAAGATAAGCCAGCATGGATTTATCTGTATGTTTCCAGTAACCAACCAACATTTGAACATGAACATGACGTTCAATAGCTGCTTTTCTCAATGAGTCATCAATATGTGGCCAATACCTAGATAGCAAAGTCAGATTTAGCATTACATTTTTTTTTAAGGTTTCCAAATAAACATTGAGGATCCCTGTTGCATTGGTAAAACTGCTTTACTTACAATACATGTTGTAGAAAACGTGATGTTGGAAAATATTCCATGACAGAAATGTACAGAAACTTCTTTGCAGCATTGATACCACTGAGAATAGCATCAAGATCAGTAGTCCGACCTTTTGGGCATATCTTGGGAGGTGAGCTCTAGGTAGAATAACAGTTTCAATTGCATTTTTCCATCCAATCACAAAATAGTGACTGATTATTAAATAGCTTAATGTCATGGTCTCGGTGTAACGTAAAGGTTTTTGGTTAGAGAGTATCCATGTAAATTTCTGTCTCCATATTCTGTTTTAAATACAACTCCTTCAAGGAACTGATGAACTGAGAGACATTAAAAAGTGTCACATCACTCATTATACAGGATTACACACTTTCTAGTAAAGCTCCTACAGATTACTCCAAATTTACAGGGAAAAGAGCAGGGACAGGTCATGAAGGAGAAAAGGAGTAGGGAAGGATGAGAAGGAAAGTGAAAGAGAGCAAGGGAATAGAGTAGGAAAACAGAGCAGGAAGAGGGGGTAAATGGTGGGTGAATGAGAAAGGGAAGAGGGAGAAAAGATCGGTGAAAAGGAGAAATGATGGGACCAATGGGAACAAAAGTGGGAGGGGTAGAAAGGGAATGGTTGACAGTGCTGAGCCAGGAATGGGATGGGATGAGGAGAAGGAAAGAGGAGGGCACAGAAGGAGTTTTGGGAATGATAAGAAGAGTAAGGACGGAGAGATAAAGCAAAGAAACTACCCAAACAATGGGGCAGACTGGAATCATTTACAGTCAAATCTTAAGTGCATTTCTTCCACTTGAATTTGTGACTGATTAAGGTTGGGAGAGTTCAGATTGTAGAGAGTTGAGCGCAGCAATACCTTTTCAGGACATTTGTCTGGTACACATGGAGTTACATAAATTGTGTGGCATAAAACACACCATTCAACCCATCTATTGGTCTTTACCAATATTTATACTCCCCAGTGGCCTCCTCCCAATATGATTTCCTTCTCCTACTCTGTTTTGATATCTGAGGGTTTTCTCTTTACTATTCCAAGGCAAGTGTCATGTGAGAGAAAATATCCAGTCTGCTTGACAGGTAACAGCTGATAGAATTAATGGCTCTCAACACTCAGATGTACAGAGCACTGCACAGAAATGTGTACCCTCAGCATGATAAAGTTAGCCAAGAGAAGGCTAGCCAGCACTGCCCTGTATCCAGAAGAAAAGTATCAAGCCCCCTCATTATTTCTTCTGACAATTTAACTGAAGCTGTATGCACAACCCTCTGAAAGCAACGTTTGCTCTGGCTTCAGAAGCGTGTCTACATCGTAGCAAAATATTCTTTATTAATATCATGCAAAGCTGCACCTTGTGCCTTGCCAATTTAGGAAGGAGATCCCATAAAGCAATCTTCATATATTACACATTTGTAAGACGAATGACACAAAATAGTCACTTGTTTCTCAACAGCCCAAGTCTGTCCTGACACCTATATGCTAACAAGAATAGTGGGGAGGAATACATAGTTAACTGGGTTGGCCAAATGGCTAGCATGTGGTTCAGAATTCAGTCCCAGTTCCAGCTCAGGTAGATTTAGGGTCTGCCTCCTCCCCCTGTCCTGTTATGAAATCAAGGGATTAATTGTGATTCAGCACTCCTTGAATAATTGTGAATACTACTTGAAGGAGAAGAGCATGTCAATGTTACTTATATATTGCAGAAAAAAAGCTGCTTTTAACACCAGAAAATGTAAACAGAAGAGGACTCCTTCAGATCAAATCCCTTACAAGAAACAGCCTGTCATGTTGAAAATGTGGCCAGAATCCAATGTGAAGTCTAGCAGGCTGGGAAATGTCAGAGTTAGCAGCAATTATTTAATTTTCTTTTCTCACTAACATGAACACTTTGCAACAAAATGCCATACAAATTAGTTATGTTAGCTTTCCTTCTAATGGTGTTTCTCAGCAATCTCTGTCAAACAGATCAGGGCAGGACTTATACACGTGATGCTAAGATCCCGTGGAGTGTTGCTGAACAGAGACCTTGGAGTGTAGGTTCATAGTTCCTTGAAAGTGGAGTCGCAGGTAGATAGGATAGTGAAGAAGGTGTTTGGTATGCTTGCCTTTATTGGTCAGTGTATTGAGTTTAGGAGTTGGGAAGTCATGATGCAGCTGTACAGGATATTGGTTAGGCCACTTTTGGAATACTATATTCAGTTCTGGTCTCCCTGCTATGCGAAGGATGTTGTGAAACTGAGAGGGCTCAGAAAATATTTACAAGGATATTGCCAGGATTGGAGGATTTGAGCTAAAGAGAGAGGCTGAATAGGCTGGCGCTATTTTCTGTAAAGTGTTGGAGCTGAGGGGTGACCTTATAGAGGTTTATAAAATCATGAAGGGCATGGAGAGGGTGAAGAGCCAATGACTTTTCCCCCAGGGTAGGGGAGTCTAAAACTAGAGGGCATAGGTTTAAAGTGAGAGGGGAAAGATTTAAAAGGCACCTAAAGGGCAACTTTTTCACGCAGAGGGTGGTGCTTGTATGGAGTGAGCTGCCAGAGGAAGTGATGGGGGCTGGAACAATTATAACATTTAAAAGGCATCTGGATGGGTATATGAGTAAGAAGTGTTTAGAGGGATATGGGCTAAATGCTGGCAAATGGGGCTAGATTTATTTAAGGTTTCTGGTTGCCATGGACGAGTTGGACCAAATGGTCTGTTTCCATGCTGTACAGCTCTGTGACTATATGACTCTAAACATAGTTTCTCTTCCATTAGCACTTTCATCCCCGGAAGAGTTGGAGCAGGCTTATGTAACAGCAGAGAAACAGCGATTAATCTTATAACAAACTCTTACACAGATACCTCCACTACAGTATTTACATGGTCTATGTGAGATCTGCTGATCAGCTGATAAGCAAACTTGAGCTATGCAAACTACAAATGTCTCTGTTTAAAGGAAGAAGCATACATTTCTTGCAGTAATTATAGAGGGTGCCAAGTGAAATTTGATGACCAGTCCCCAGTAGGCCTCAGCAGTTGGTAATTATACTTCGAATGTTTTGGAGTGCAGTATATAAATACCATCATTTTCATGAATGTTCCAGCTTGTATTGTGTAAAAACTGCACTTACTTGAAAACTTAATATTTACATTAACTTACTGAAAAGTATATTTTTGCAGCAGTTCCATTCAGTTTCACTTCGAGAGGTGTGTCTTTGTTAAAATTTGTTGAATAAAAAGGCGGCCATGGTGAAGGGATGGTGGCATTTGGCAGTCCGAGACTCCAGTAAGCTTCAAAGATTTTGGAGAAATCATTGGCAAGGCAACTGCAATTGTAAATCACTGCGCCCAGTTCTTTCACCTGTAAGAAATTATAGTGAATGATCCATGACTATGTCTGATAATGTAACAAGAGACAAATAACCCATATAATTAGATTGGCTAATATAGCAGTTACATTACCAGATTCAAATCTATTCTCATGTTTACTTTTCACAGTATGATACTTGGGTGATCTGTTTTTACTGGAGGCATACAGAATTAGAGTAAAACATTTTACATCTGCCTGATTCACATCAACTGAATTAAGATCAGATTTAAACAATTTGAGATTTTCCTTAAACTTTTAACCATCATGTCGAATTGCTGCTGGCATAGTTGATGCAGAATTGTATCTCTAATATTGTTAGGCAATGCCAATGTTTATTTAACAAAAATAATCTTTCCTACTATCTGCTACGATTAAAGGTGACTAAACAAATCAATTACTGATCTCAGGAAATATGATTTTATGTTGTAGCATAATTACTTATTCCTGTCTGTTTAAAATTGGTATGACAAATAATTTAACCTGTATTTGTAGCATTTTGGCAACACCATTCATGATCCATTCAACTCAGTACTTTTTCTCCCTCGATTACATTTAATGCTCAAGCAGTGTGAGGGTCTAACATTATTAGAGGTGGTCATTTTCAGGAACACACATACAGTTTGCATGCCAATATACTTTGATTTTCAATCTAGGGTTTGGAGCCAGGTGCCAAAACTGTGCCGTATCTGTTTTGTTGGCGTTATGATTTCTTCAAATGCAGATTACCCAATTGGATTGGAGGCAAGCTCAACACGCATTTAGTAGTGGCAGAATCAACTCCTGAGTTCAATCCTCAGAAGCTGTTGATGGTTCTGACTGGTCATGCGATTGCTTTGCAGAATAGAGAAGGCAGGAGTTTAGAGGGTTGGCAGCCTGATGGTGCAGCGTAGTGGCCAAACAGCTTACAGAAAGATACCGCACTCTCTCTAGCACAATAATACTCCCTGGCAAAAAAATTTAATTGCACGTTATAGGTATGTCGGTTCATGTTCACCAATCTGTGCTTTCAAAATCACCTTCTTGCCCTCCCCAGAAATGAACTGTTCAAGGAGCTTAAGGACAGTTACTTGAAGGTGAGTGAGATCCCATCTTCCATCCACTGAAAACAATAATACACCCCGACTGATATCAGGGCATTGGCCCACTTTCAGGAGCTATTTGCAAAGCACATCCACACCCATGTGTGCAATTGAGTATCAAGTCATAAGCTCTCTTTTTGAAAACTGAGTTCAGGATCTGAGCGTTAAGAAATTAATAAAACTAACATGAGACGTTTGAATTTGAGCTCCTGTAAAAATGTGAATCTGTTCATACCAGAGGGCACAGTAACAAAATAATCTTACAGTAGGCTCCTTTCTAAACTATGGGTACTCAGTGTTTGAAGAATAGTTTAGTTTAATATTTCCCAAAATTTACAAGAATTATAATTTTATTTTCTTCATAATGTTGCATCTTCCATATGACATTTAAACCTGACCAATTAGCACTGAGAAGTGAGGCACTTGAACTGACTGATCGAGTTGCAATCAGAATGGATCAGCAAGTTGCTGAAAAGCTGCTAAAACTTTGTTGTTGCCCATGGAAATAGCCCTGTCAATGTTATCCAGGATGACAGTTCGTGGAAATTATGACAAAGTTGGAATAATCTTTGATATTATCAGAAAAGATTTACAGCTCAGAAATCATTAGTTAGGCCAGAACTTGAGAGCTGTGTACAGATCTAGTCACTTCATGACAGGAAGGATATAATTCTACTAAAGAGGCTACAGAGAAGATTTATGAGGTTTTGCCAGAACTGTAAAAATGAAACTGTGAGGAAAGATTCGATAGGCTGGGTTGTTCTCCTTGAAACAGAGGAAGCTGCAGGGTGAATTAATTGAGATGTCCAAAATTGAGAAGGGTCCAGATAGAATGGATGGCAAGGGCCAATTTACCTAAACAGAATGGTCAGTAACTAAATGTGTCGATTTAAAGTGATTGATGGAATGATTAAAGGGAGATGAGGATTTCTTTTTTCTCCCAGAGGGTGATCTGGGATCTGGAATTCACTGTCTGAAAGAGCACAGAGCGAGGCCATTAGCCATAGTGTCTACACTAACTGTAAAATGAGCCATCCCACCTTCCAGCTTTTAGTCTGTAACCCTGTAAAGTTATGGCACTTGAGGTGCAGATCAAGATGTCTTTTAAGTGAATTGAGGGCTTATGCCTATACTGTCCTTTCAGGCAGGGAGACAACCCCAGTCTATCTGATTATTCCCATAACTGCAATTTTCCAGGCCTGGCAACATTCTGTAGCCTCTTTGATACAATTGCATCTTTACTGTAATGAGGTGACAGGACTGTGGACAGTGCTAAAGTTGTGGCCTAATTAATGATTTGTACACTTACAGAAAAGCCTCCCTGCTTACATAAGGGTGAAGGTGGTGAAGAAGGCAAATAGTATGTTGGCCTTCAAAGTGAGAGGATTTGAGTACAGGAGGAGGGATGTCTGACTGCAATTGTATAGGGTTTTGGTGAGATCACACCTAAAGTATTGTGTGCAGTTTGGTCTCCATATCTGAGGAAGGATGTTCTGGCTGTGGAGGAAGTGCGATGAAGGTTTACCAGACTGATTCCTAGGATGGTAGGGCTGATATCCGAAGGGAGACTGAATCTGTTGGGACTATATTTACAGGAGTTTAGAATAATGAGGGGGCATCTCATAGAACCCTACAGGGTAAACACAAGATGGAGGTCCCAATGACCTGGGAGTACAAAACCAGGGTCACTGTTTAACGGTACACATCGGCCATTTAGGACTGAGATGAGAGAGATTTCTTCACCCAGTGAGTAGTGAGCCTGTGGAATTATCTGCTGAGAAAGTGTTTGAGGCCAAAAGATGGCGTTTGATGTAATTGTTCGGGCTAAAGGGATCAAAGTGTATGGGGAGAAAGTAGGAACCATGGCAGACGTGATTGACCTACTTCTCTTCCTATTTTCTATATTTCTATGCTTCTGCACCTCAGCTAATAAAGGAAACCATTCTTTATGTCTTCTTATTTACCTGTCAATATTCACTCCAAGGTCCCTTACTTCCTCTCTGCCTCTTAACATACTTCCATTAATTGTGTGTCCTTTTATCTTATTAATCACTCCAAGCGCATTCACGTCACACTTTCTGGGTTGATTTCAATTTGCTACTTTCTGCCCACTGATTCAGTCCAATGATACCTTCCTGCTGTCTATAGTTTGTTATGATAGGAGTAAATATGGACTATTGAATTATAACTTCTATGATCTTATTGTTACACCTGATACCATTCAAGGAAAAAATGATTTTTAAAGAGGAAAAAACATGGACATCAAATGGCTGCAATAGCCACATGACCACTGCTTGCGACATGCTTTGTGAGATACACATGGAGTAAATGAAGCTGTATGCACTGGAATGGCAATTTTTATCGACAGAAAATAAATGAGGCAATTAGGTCAGCTCTTTAAAAAAAGTTGCATCTCCTGTTTTAAATCATACTTGTATGATAATTTACATATTGGGAGATGAAAAGCTTACCTAACAATTAACCAGTATGAAAAATAATGAAGCTAGACTCAGTATTACACACTGAACTATATTTCAACTCGTGCTTTTGAGCAGCAGAGTAGAGACAAGGAAAACTGGATTTGTGAACAAGAACTTAGAGACTCTTTTTTTCCCTGCCATTTCTCTCATCAGCTTAAAACAGCGTACCATGAAATCACAACAATTCATCAAAGAATCAAAAATACCTACTGATTCTGCTATTGCTGATGATACAAGTCAACCATTACACAACTGTGGTCTCAGTTTAAGAAGCTAATACCTCAGGGACTCTTAGCCTTTTTTTAAATGTTTAACCTTTATTCTCCATGCTTATACTATATAATCACCTTATTTTTAAAAATCTGTAACCTGTATGCTTGCCTATGCATGTGATATTGCATTTTATCATCTCTTCTCAGGATTAGTAGATGATAAAATTTCTTTGTCTTTCAGTCAACAAAACTTTTGTATTTGGTTCCTTCATTTTATAGCAAGCTACTATTGAGGTGTGACAGCTGTGTGATAAAAAGATATGAAAATATTTGTCAAAACCCACAGAGAGAGTTAAAAAGAGGGAGGTGATTATCCCTCCTCATCTCAGCGTAACAAGCTATCCACTGTAAACAGCCTTCTAGGCATAAAAACAACCACCAACAATTCCTCTGAGCCAAATTTGAATCCAGCTTGCTACATTCCCTGGATCCCATGTGCTTTTATTCCTTTAGCCAGTCACCGACAGGACCTTGTTAAAAACCTCACTAAGTCCAATTGGACCCCCTTCCGCTCCTCTACTCTTATCAATCCTTTTTACTTCCTCAAAAAATTCAAGTTGATCAGACACAAGCTTCCCTTAACAAATCCATGCTGGTTGCCCTTGATTAATCCATGCCGTTCGAAGTGACAGTACATACATCCTCTGTGTCAGAATTGATTCTGATCATTTTCCCACTGCTGAAAATAGACTGACTGGCCTATAAGTATTTGGTCCATCCCTCATTGCCTTTTAAATATCTGCAGTCATCTCATCCTCCATAACCTCATCCACATCTGACAAGGATTGGAAAATGATGGTCAAACCTTTTTTTATTTCCTCCCTAGTTCTTTTCAAGAAATTGGGATATATTTAAACCAGTTCTGGCGATTGATCCACTTTCAGGGATACTAATTCCATTCATACTTCCTCCTTCCCTTTCTTCCTCCTTAGCTACAATATCTGCAATATCTTCTCTTTTGTGAAGATAGATGAAAGGAATTAAGAATAATACTTCACACGCTTCAAAATCTCCCCTCCCCCGACCGCATCCCAAAACCAGACCAGCTCGTCCCCGCCTCCCTAACCACTGCTCCCACCTCAAGCCCCACCCTCATCTCCTACACACTAACCTCATCCCGCCTCCTTAACCTGTCCGTCCTCCCTGGACCGACCTATCCCCTCCCTAACTCCCCACCTACACTCACCTTTACTGGCTCCATCCCCGCCTCTTTGACCTGTCTGTCTCCTCTCCACCTATCTTCTCCTCTATCCATCTTCTATCCACCTCCCCCTCTCTCCCTATTTATTTCAGAATCCCCTTCCCCTCCCCCATTTCTGAAGAAGGGTCTCGACCCAAAACGTCAGCCTTCCTGCTGCTCTGATGCTGCTTGACCTGCTGTGTTCATACAGCTCTACGCCTTGTTACCTAAGAATAATACCAACTGCCTCTGTACCTAAATTGCCCACTTAGTCTTTTATGGGTCCTGCTCTTTCTTAGTTATTCTCTTACTCTTAATGTGTTGATAAAACATTTAGGATTCACATTTTGCTCGACAATATTCTTTCATGGCCTCCCTTTGCTTTCCTAATTACACCATCAGGACTGCATGACCCAAGGGAGAAATAATAGAAGTGAGCTTTGCTGATGATAATCACATCTACGAAACTGAAAGGTGAAAGCTGTTCCAGATAGAAATTTCTTGAGCTAACATGTGAGAATAAAGAACAGCAGAGGGTATAGGTCTGTAGCTACATAATGTCAACATTTTTGAGGTGGGATTGGGTGAGAAATGATGCAAAGGCTTGCAATATAAACCGCTGTTGCATCAATATATTAAAGTGAAATTTATCTTTTTCTTTGAAGTATTTTGCCCGTTGTTCATGTGCAATTTGCATTAGCTCTGATTCATACTATAGTAATATTTGCAAAAAAAAGTGATACCTTGTTGTTAGTTATTCCTTTATTTGGGGGTCATTCAGTAAGTAATCCAGTAAACTATCTGCACATTTACTCCTTTCTTGGCAATTAGAGACGATTAGAGACAAAAAAACTCCTGGTGCTGGAATCCAACATACACAAACAAGAGGTTGGAAGAACACAGCAAGCCAAACAGCAGCTGGAGGAAAGGAGAAATCAACGTTTCGGCTATTACCCTTCTTCAGGGATGGATGTGGGGGTAGGAGGAGCTGCAGATAAAAGTGGGGGGGGGGAATAGCAGAGTGGTGGTGATAGGTGGACACTGGCAGTAAGTATGACCTGATTGGTCGATGGGAGGGATGAATCCCGTTGGTGGCTAGAAGGGAGGGTCAGAAGGTGGAATGGAAGGGAAGGGATGGGGCTGGAAGGGGAGCTGGGGAATGAGTGGGAAGGTTATTTGAAATTGGAGAACTCAATGTTGAGTCCTGCAGGCTGTAAGGTGCCCAGGTGGAAGATATGGGGTTGTTCTTCAAATTTGCATTCTGATGCAAAATAATGTACTATACAACATAATGTACTATACAAACATTTTGATAACTAAAGACAAGACTTGGATAAGACTCCTGCCCTCCTACATCAGAATCAGGGATTGAGAATAAAAAGATGTAATATCCTGTTATAAAAATTAACACATTATTAACTGAAGATGTAGGATATCAGAATCGCAATACTTAATAGGACTGCTTAATCACAGATTAGATGCTATACTTGCCTGAGTTAGTGCTCTCCAATCCATATTAGCACTGCCAATATAGATATGTTTCTTATCAACAATCCAGAGTTTTGTGTGGAGCACACCACTCAATAACTTTTGAAAGTTTACTTTTCTCACGTGGATTCCTGTAATTTAAGATAGTTCGAACAAAATATGGAGCATCAGTTCCAAATTCTACATTATTTGATCTCCAAATAGCATCAAATAAATGTAGGTTTTCAGGAAGAAGAACATTTATAAATAATATTTATCTGTGACTAACTTACTTTTCTTATTTATTGTCTTTTATTAGTTAATGGCCAGAACTTTATTTTTGATATAAATTTACTACATTATGAAAAACTTTCTCCCAAATTCAAACTTCTCCCTCACAAATGTTGCCATAATAATTCTATCAATAAAACTGCAGCAAATTTTTCAGATAGTTTATCACAATCCTTCCCCATCCAGGCTCATGTAGAAGGGAAGACTTTTGATGTTAAAAGTTCTTTGATCATATCTCTCCAGAAACAGAACATCAGAGAAAAATGTGAATGTGCAATTTCATTTACACCGATTCATGCAGAAATATATTGCTTTCCACAAGCCTGGAACTCAGTTTAAAAGAATGAAAGAACTTAGAATTATATATTGCTTTTCACAACCAATGAATTATTGTGGATGCATAGTCACTTTAGTCATGTTGACGTATGACAAGCAATCTCCAGACAGCAAGGTTCCACAAAGTGCAATGTGGTAATAACAGCATAAGAAATAGAAGCAGGAATAGGCCATTCAGCTCTTCAAGCCTGCCGTACCTTTCCATAAAACCATGGCTAATCTGCCCCAGGCCTCAACTCTTCTCTTGTGCCAACTTTCTTGGCTTCAATTCCATGAACATTTCAAAAATCCATTTATCACCTTTTTAGATACTTTCAGTGATGTAACTTCCACCATTCTCTGGAGTAGCGAATTCCAAACATTCACTACCCTCTGAGAGAAGGTCCTTCATATCTCAATATTAAATGATGTCCTCTTCTTCAATAACTAGGTCCCCCACTTCAGATTTACCCATAAGTGAAAACATCTACCCTCTCAAGCCCCTTCAGAATCTTGTATGTTTCAATTAGATTACCCTTGATTCTTCTAAACTCTAAAGAACACAAACCTAACATGTAATCTCTTCATCTCAGTAGTAAGTTTAATGAATCTCTTTTGAATTGCTTCCAGTGCAAGCAAATCCTTTCTTAAATGTGGTGACCGAAACTGTACATGGCATTTCAAGGTGTGGCCTCACCAAAACCCTATACAGTTATAACAAGTCTTTCCTGTTTTTAAATTTTTTTAACACCTGAGCAATAAAGATCAAAATTCAATTTGCCTTCTTAACTACTTGCTGCACTAACATGCTAACTTTTTTTGTGTTTAATGTACAAGAATACCTAAATCACACTGCACTGCACTTTTTGAAGTCTTTTTTCATTTAAATAATTATCCTCCTTTTGATTCTTCCTACAAGATGCATGACCTCGTGCTTTTATATTTAAACTCTATCTGACAAGTTTTTGCTCATTCTTTCAAGCTATTTATATCCCTTGTAGAGTTCTTATATCCTCACCCCAATAATCCACCCTACCACCTATTTTTATGTCCTCAGAAAATTTGGATGCATTACACACTTGCCCCTCCTCCAAATCATTAAAATAGATAATGAATAATCGAGGCTTTAAGACTGATGTTTGCAACACTCCACTAGTTATGAATTTCTAACCTGAAAAAGACCAATTAATCATGTCTTGCTGTCTTCCCTGTGTTAATAAATCCCCAATCCATGCTAATACATTACTCCAAAACTGTGAGCTTCGATCTTGTGCAATAACCTTTTAGTGACACCTTATAGAATGGCTTCTGGAAATCCAAATACAGTATGTTTCCTGGTTCTCCTTTATCGACTCTATTTGTCGTGTCCTTAAGAAACTCTAGCAAACTTGTCAAACATGATTTCCCTTTCACAAAACTACGTTTGACTCTGTTTGATTGTATTAAGCATTTCGAAATGTCCTGCCATTTTCTTCCTTCATCATGGATTCTAGCATTTCACCAGTGACAGATTTAGACCAACTGGCCTTTAGGTTTTTTTCATTCATTCATGGGACATGGACATCATTGGCCACTGTCTATTGCCCATCCCATTCTTGTTCTTTTCCTCCCTCTCTTCTTGAACAGAGGCATCGCATTACCAGTGCTCCAATTCACTTGAATCCTCTTGGAATCTGGTGCATTCCGGAATAGTTAATGCCTCCACTTTCTCTGCAAACACTTCATTGGATGCAGGCCATCAGATCCTAGTGATTTGTTTGTCTTCACATTAGTTTGTCAGATACTTTGTCCTTTGTGATAGAAACTATTATAAGAGTTGTCCTGCCATGAGCACTTTGCTTATTTTTGATACCTTTGGGATGTTTACAGTATCCTCCATGAGACTGATGTAAAATGTTGGTTTAAATTATCTGCCATTTTTTTTGTTCCCCCTTATTAATTCCCAGTCACGTCCTTCAAGGGTCCCATACTCATTTTGGCTGCTCTCTTCGTTTTCATTTATCTGTAGAACCTCTTGCTGTTTGTTTTTATATTTCTTGTCAATTTACTTTCATAATTAATTATCTTCCTTTATATTGGCCTTTTGGTCATGGAGTCAAACAGCACAGAAACAGACCCTTTGGTCCAATTTGTCCATACCAACCAGGTTTCCTAAACTGAACTAGTCTCATTTGCTGGTTCCTAAAACATTCCCAATCTCATGGTGTACCTCTGTAGCAGCCTTTGTAAATCATAGGTAGTTCAGCTTTCTCATCTTTTGACCCAGAATAAATTTTGCCTGAGCATTCTGAATTATCTGTTTAAATTTCTGCCATTTTCAGCTCCTGCCCTTCCTCTTAATCGATTTTCATAGTTTGCTTTAGACAACTCTTTATACATTCCTCTGTGATTACCCTTATTTAAGGTGAGGACACTGGTTTGAGACCCAAGTTGCTCTCCCTCAAACTGAATTTGAAATTCTACAATGCTGTTACTGCTAATCCTTTGAGGATCCTTAACAATGAGATCTCTTATTGATCTTACCTCATTACACATTACTGATCTAAAGAAGCCTGTTCCCAGATTGTGCAATGCACTGCTGTAAGAAACAATTCCTGGTGCACTCAATAAAAGTTTGTCTTGCATGTTTATCGTTGCCCATCTAATTTGTCTAGTCAATATGCAGGTTAAAATCACTGATGATAATTGTATTGCCCTTTTTAAATACCTCTATGATTTTCTGATTTATACTTTGTCTTACAGTGAGATAGATCCTTGGAGGCCTATAGACCACTCCCATCCATGATCTCGCTCTCTCTGTATAACCTGCTTTCAGCCAAACTAATTCCCCATCACAATCTATATACATATATTGTAATTTAACAATGCACTAATGTCTTATTTTATTAACAATGCTACCCCATGTCCTTTTCCTTTATGCGAATTTTTCTAGAACAGTGCATACCCTTAAATATTGAGTTCCCAGTCCTGGTCATCTTAGAACCACATTTCTATAATAGCCTTTGATGTATTCATTTTTTAATGTTTTTTGCGCCGTCAACCCACCTCTCTTGTTTTAAATGCTGTGTGCATTCAAATAAACAGCCTTAAGCTTTAACTTTTTATATTATCCCTTATCCTGGTTCTCATTTCTGCTGCAGGTCTCTGCTTTTGATTTCTGACTCTTCCTGTCACACTTTGTTTGCTTGTGTAAGCTTCCCTTCAATTGAAATGTCCCACCTACTAATTACCTTAAAACCTTATCTACAACTCTACTTTTATGATTCACCAGGACACTCATTCCCAGCGTGATTCAAACTAAGTCTGTCTGAATTGTACAGCGATCTCTTGTTCCAGCACTGATGCCAGTGCCTTGTCTGAATGCTTGGTATACCAACATATCAGTTTGACACTGACAGCGTGTGCCAGCTGCTGGTGGATCACTGCCAAATGTGATTGGGAGAATCGAGGCTAGCAGGGAAAACAGAAGCAGTTGGGGAGGTTGGAACAAAGATGGTGACAGGAGAAACTCACAATGTATGGGAGTACTTGCAAAAAACAGCATGCTAGGCTACAAGGAGATAACAAGGTGTAGAGCTGGATGAACACAGCAGGCCAAGCAGCATCAGAGGAGCAGGAAGGCTAGGCTACAGACAGGGTCATATTGGCAGTGACCAGCATCATGGCCTCCACAGGGGGCACATAAAGGAGCTGGGTGGGAAGGGTTCAGGAGGCAGTGAGGACAGTTGGAGGTGATGTTCAATGTCGTGTGTCTCCACATGGGGTGAATGAGTGGAAGTAGGCTGTTGGGATTGTGTGAGGTAAAAGGGGACATGGATGGTTGGTGGGAAGGGATTGAAATTACCTGGTGAGAAGGTGCAACCCATTGCTGATGGTGCCCACTGCATTTTGAATTCCATGCCATCTCTAGCTCCCACCTATTTGTGCAATGCAAATGTAAAATAACTGGGACAATGCCTACAGTGAGCAGAGTCAGTGTAGCTTGACGGTTGAAAGCACAGGATCCATATGTGCTGGACTTTTAAGGCATTGAAGGAACAAATACATGAAGCATGCAATCGCAAACTCCAACAACATTTCATTTGCAAACATTTCCTTGCCCATTTACAGTGCATGCAGAGCGAGTGTGTTTGTGTCAAATATTCATCAGTGGTGGACTGTGCCATGCTATAGGGTACGCTAGATACACTAACATTGTCATCTCAGTGACTCAGAAGTTAGCTGCAATAACTTAAAAGGTGGTGATTGTAGGCCAAACTCCCCATCATTTTTGAAATTTGCAAGGGTGCTGTGGGATGAGGAGAACATTGCTGTATCATGTATCATGTGTGTATGACAATGGATTCTAATGAATGCAATGGAAAGTGGAATGGTTGAGGTAAGTCTAGGTTGGGAAGGGGTTTGGAGCCCAGCAAAAATGAACAAATGAACAAATGAAAAAGTACAGCACAGGAACAGGCCTTTCGGCCCTCCAAGACTGTGCCGAGTATCATGTCCTAATTAATCTAAAAACAAACCTGACATTTTTCGATCCGCATCCCTCTATTCCCTCCCTATTCATGCACCCATCTAGGTGCCTCTTAAATGTCTTCAATGTGCCCACTTCCACCACCTCTTCTGGTAGTGCATTCCAGCTGCTACCACTCTCTGCGTGAAAAACTTCCCTCACACATCTCCCTTAAACTTTCCCCCTCTCTCCTTGACCCCGTGCCCCCTTGTAATTGAAACTTCAACCCTGGGAAGAAGCCTCTGACTATCCACCCTATCTATGCCTTTCATCATTTTGTAGACCTCTATCAGGTCTCCTCTTTTTCCAGTGAAAACAATCCTAGTCTTTTTAACCTTTCCTCATAGTCAATGCCCTGGAGACCAGGCTACATCCTGGTGAACCTTCTCTGTACTCTTTCCAAAACTTCCATATCCTTCTGGTAGTGTGGTGACCAAAACTGCACACAATACTCCAAATGCAGCCTAACAAGGGCTTTATATAGCTGCAACATGTTTTGCCAACTCTTCTACTCCACGCCTCGGGCGATGAAGGCAAGCATGCCATATGCCTTCTTAATCACCTTGGCTACCTTTATTGCCACTTTCAGGAAACTGTGGACCTGCACGCCCAGTTCTGTCTGAATGCTAGTGTTCCTAAGGGTTCTGCCATTTACAATATAATTCACACCTAAATTTGATCCTCCAAAATACATCACCTCGCATTTGTCTGGATTAAACTCCATTTGCCATTTCTGTTCGCAAGTCACCAATTTATCTGTATCCTGTTGTATACTTTCACAATTGTTGGCACTATCAGCAACTCCACCAATCTTCGTGTTATCGGCAAACTTGCCTGTCAGATTGCCCACATTTTTGTCCAGATCATTTATATATACTACAAACAATGAAGGACCTAAGACTGACCCCTGCAGAACACCATTAATTACCGGTCTCCATTCTGAAAAAGATCCTTCCACCACTACCCTCTGTCTTCTATGACCAAGCCAGTATTCTATCCATCTAGCCAGGCCACCCTGAATGCCTTGTGATTTTAGTTTTTGTACCAACCTGCCATGTGGGAGTTTATCAAATGCCTTACTAAAGTCCACATAAACTACATCCACAGCCCTTCCCTCATCAATTATCCTCGTTACCTCTTCAAAAAATTCAATAAAAGCAGACGCTCACTTTTTGATGTTATATGTTGGTCACTCAGCCAACATGGCACCTTCACCAAAATGGTGCATATGTTGTGAGCAGGACTTTGGTGAATCAGAAGACAGGCCTCCTGAAGGTTTGGTTCCACAGCTTGGAGCGGTCTTGGGGTGCCCTCCAGTTTAGCCTGGACAGGGAGTTCTGTAATATCCTCGAATACTGTGCTCTGCACATTTGGAGCAAGTAATGAGGTGAAGTGATAGATGCTCAGGAGCTGGGAAACAGGAGCAGTCATCTGAGAAGGATGTGGACATTGGGCTTGCAAAAATTCTCTTTGTGGATGATAGTGCTCAGTTGCATTGGGCCCTACAAGGTGGAGAGGGTGTGACTGACACCCAGTTCCAGTAGCTGCAAGCTGGGTGGAGACTATCTTGACCTGTCAAGATTCATCTGTCATTTGCTTTGTACTGTGATTGTAAACTGTAGCCTGTATCCATTTCCTTTGTGCTTTTGTTGGCTGTCAATGAAAGCTCATATTTGGACTGGTCTGATTGCTTGTGGGTGTCTGATATTCCCATACTGGACAATGAAAAGGTATGGGTGACCCAATGCATTTGCAGAAGAGTACTGAGGACTCAGGGTGTTCAGACAGTAGGCACAGATAAAGTGTGTGGCCTGGTGGTTAAAGAGTGACTACTGTGAGACACTAGTGGGATTGCACATGCAAGAGTGTGTCATTAATGTTGACTATCTGCTATGGGCATCATGTTTACATGACTACTGTGCCATTATGTTGCCAGTGCAGGGCAATGCCAGATTACCAAAGCTTAACTGGTTGCACAGTGGCCTCTCATTAATGATGCAAGCCATCTTTCAGCAGATATCCACTGAGTGCTAAGTTATCCCAGGAAGGATGTGTAGTAAGATGTGGGTGGAATTAGATGTGAGAGACACCATAGGGGCAGGGTAGGTGGCTAATGAGTTTTGGTCAGAAATCATGCTAAGCTTCATGATGAGAATCCCTCCATAAACATGACGCAACTTGCAATTAGGCAAAAAAGGTAAGATTGAGTCCAATATATGTAAAATGAGTTGGTTAACTCACTCATATTACTTGCATGTAAAAGCAAGAAAAGGTGCAAATACTAAAATCCTAAATTAAACAGAGATATCTGGAAATACACAACAGATCATGCAGCCACTAATGTAAACATAAAGAGTTACATTATGCAAACTTTTCTCAGAATGTGTTCTGAGGAAGGCCATTGCACCTGAAACAATGGATTAAATCTTCTGCTGCACAGATTGTCAGAAATAGAAACATTTAACAACGTATAACTTCAAAAAGCCAACGTCTGCTGGGTTCCAATCTCCTTCCCAACCCAGATCCTCAACCATTCCACTTTCCATTGTATTCATTAGTCCATTACTTACACGACACATGATGTAGCAATGTTCTCTTCACCAAACATACATGGAAACATAGAAAAGAAAATTAAATGAGTTAATAAGTATTATAATTCTTACCTTTCTCTTTTAAAATTTTGAGATCAGTGGAAAGTTGATGTGGAAAGGATAGTGTACTTGAAGCAATGCGCACACTAACATTTTTTAATGGCAATTTCCCCAATTCACGAAGCAGGATTTCACCCTGCAGTAGTATAACATACAAAAAAAATTAAGAGCATAGTATGTAAAAATAAGTCAGACAAAGTATAATATTTATACATTGGAAAGACAGAACTAACACAATGGCAGAAAGAAGATTAGAATAAAAGCAAAATTAAAAATATGAAGGCAAGTGGAGGTGAACTGCTAGAATTTATCACAATTTAAAGCAACCTTAAAACAAGTCCGCGGTAATTCTTCAGTAATAGAGCTTCCTGGGAGTTTGTTTAATTTATATGCCTAGAGTCGCCAACAGCTTGAGTTCAGCTGATGTAGTTCTTGGGGACTATCTCTTCACCTTTGATTCAAGGTGATTGTTGTGTTCTGATGGCAGCAGTTACAGTAAACCTTTAATATTTACTGTACTTAAAGGTTTACTGCACGTCATTTTGCTGTTATTCCTACCAAAATAGATGTTCTCACATTTACCAACATTGTACTGCATCAGCTAGACCCTTGTCCCCTCACTTAATCTATCCCTCTGCAGACTTTCAGTGTCCTCTGCACACTTTGCTCTGCCACTCATCTTAGTGTCATCTGCAAACTTTGACACACTACACTTAGTCCCCAACTCTAAATCATCGATGTAAATTGTGAACAATTGCGGTCCCAACACTGATCCCTGAGGCATACCACTAGCCACTGATCGCCAACAAGAAAAACACCCATTTTTCCCCACTCTTTGCTTTCTGTTAGTTAACCAATCTGCTATCCACGTTAGTGCATTACCTGTAATGCTGCGCACCTTTAACTTATGCAGCAGCCTTTTGTGTGGCACCTTGTTGAATGCCTTCTGGAAATCAGAGTGATCAAAAGGTAGTACTGTTTGTAACTGAATAGCTTAGTATTAGGCCAGACACCTACATGCCTGTGATTGTAATATATACATATAAATATATCAGGAGACATATTAAATATCTGTTGAATATTTCAGTACCATGGTCGCATGTCTGCTTCTTATGTTAGGTGAACCTGTTGAAGGTAAAAGTGGTCAACACAATTATAGATCACAGTGATGGATCAATAATAACGCAGAATAATTCACAATCATCAACCCTTAGACAACAAGGACTTCACATGAGGAGAAAACATTGTTCCATATCTTTGATGGTGTAACATTAAAAATGTTCAGTGTCAACACAGCTGCCTCCTAGCCCGAACTATCCTACAAGTTGTGGCACTGGGTTGGACCGGCCTTTGGGCAGAGAACTGAAGAAGAATCAAAATCAAAAAGTACCGGAGAAACTCAGCATGTCTGGCAGCATGTGTGGAGAGCAAAAGAGTTAACATTTCAAGTCCAGTGACCCTTCACCAGAATTGAAAATACCTGGGGAAAGGGACGTGTTTATGCTGATAATGAGGTACAGAGAGTGAATAGAATACTTGGAGATGGAGCCCTGAGATAGAGAGAGACAGAGCCTAAAAAGGGATAAGAAAACAGATAAGTTACTAATGATGACCCAAGAAATAGATAAATGCTAGGTAGAGTGCTAACAAGAAGCGTAAATGGTTAAAAATGGATTGGCTGTGCTGGGAGCAACACATACAAGTCAGAATTTAGTGGTGTGGGGAAAGGATAACAAATATAGACAAGGGTGCTCACATTCTGAAATTGTTAAACTCAGTGTTAGGTCCTGGCTGTAAGATTCCTCAACAGAGGTGTAGTTCCTCCAGCTCATATTGAGCCTTACTGGAATGCAGCAACAGGCCTGAGACAGAAATGCTAGCCAGGGAGCACAGTGGTCTGTTGAAATGGCAGGTAATTGGAAGTTCAGTATTATTTTTATGGACCAAACATAGGTGTTCCGCACAATAGTCACCCAGTCTGCATTTCATCATCCCAGTGTACAGGAGACTACATTGTGAGTGGTGAATACACTAGACTAGATTGAGCGAAGGGCAGGTAAATCGCTGTTTCACCTGGAAAGTGTGTCTGGGACGTTGGATAGCGAGGACGGCAAGTGATGCACCTTCTGTGATTGCAGAGGAAGTTGCCATGCAAGGGTAAGAAGGTGTGTTGGGAACAGAGGAGGAATGGACCAGGTGTCCCAGAGGGAACGGTCCCTGTGGAATGTTGCGAAGAGGGGAGAAAATATGTGACGGTAATGATATCCTGCTAGAGGTGCCTGAACTGGCAGAAAGAAGTCCTAATATTAAAAGGATTATAAAATGAATGCAATATGTTTTGTTAAATGATAGTAGGGACATTGAACATGGAGCTAATGCTACCTAGTGGTGGAAATACTTCATTGCCATGCAGTGGAATTTTTAATTCAATATGAAAAAAAACATGCTGAGCAGTTAGAAAGACTAATCCAATAAAAGTAGTGCTAATTTCAGTTTATTGATTTACTTTGTTATCCTTATTACATAGAATATTATAACACATTCACCTTGGCAGTCTGTGCTAACTATTTGAACAAGCTGTCTCATTTAGTCCAATACTCCAGCTTTATTTTCAAATGACCTTACAAATTAGTACATTCCAGATTTCAATGTTTAATTGCTTTTATAAAGATCCAATGAAAATTCACTTGAACCACACCTTCAGGTAGTGCATTCCAGAATAATAACTGTGTGATCAAAATTCTACTCTTTTCTCCTTTAGTTCTTTTGGTCAATCATATCAAATACAGGTTCCCTGACTATCACTTCACTCACCAGAAGAAATGCTTGCTTAATCAAAATCTCACACACAGTGAGACACACATACACAAAAGACAAGCCTCCTAAAATGTGGTGCCAGATTTGTAAAGACAACCCCAGTTTAGAAGTATCCAGAACTCTATTACAGATACCCTTATGTTTTATATTCAGTGTGGCTTCTTACAATTTTATAAATTTATTTAGCTGTACAGCCAACCTGCCCATCCTCCTTCAGTGATTTTGGAATATGCACCTCCCCCAATTGCTTCCTTAGCTTTCCTCCAGGTGGTACCATTCAGATTATACTGTTTCTTTCAATCACAGTGTCTCACCTCACACATAGCTATATTAAAAGCATCTGCTACTTGTCTGTGCACTTTTCCATGTCTCCTGAGTCTTCTGGTATCCTGTTCACTATTTACTGTGTTGCCAATTTTGGAACCTTCTCAAATTTCAAAATTTCACTCACTAAACCTATACACAACAGGAAATACTTTGGTCACAATGGGGAACCGTGGGGATCCATACTACCTGCCTAAAGAACTGCAGATGCTGGAGTCAGAGATAACACAGTGTGGAGCTGGAGGAGCACAGCGGGCCAGGCAGCATCAGGGGA